AAATACCGTTCTCTGGGCGGTTGAATTCCGAGACTATGCCGTCTTCGTGCAACACCTACGGCAATGTCACGTACATATACACAACGCCCGGAATAAACTCTCGAAAAAAGATTTATCGACGTCCGACGGAGGTGGAAGTGGAGCTTTTGTTCGTGAACAATCCGCTTCGCCCCTCCGGTGATTCCGCTTATTTCTTGTTAACGCGAGCGCGGCGGCGGATATGGGCGCATAAATACCAAAAAGAGGCAAAAACAATTAAAAAATGAAGAGAAACTTTTTTTTCAAGCCGATTACTTTTCTCTGGTAAACTGAGAGATAAAATGTAAAATTAAATTAGCGGCTGCTCGTTGGCGTATTGCGTTTCGAGGAGATCCGCAGTTTTAATTGAAATAAATGAAAAAAAAAGACGGAAAACGCGAATAGCCCATTACGCTGCATCGTGAGATAAAAGAAAGAATATATCGTCGGTCATTGTTCTCCAAGACGTGTTTTCTCGTCCGAAAAATCGCGATTGCCAGCCGCGAACGTTAAGCACGGACGTAGAGTTCGTGCTTAACGAGGCGAAAGAGAAGGATATGCCGCTGCAATAATAAAGCCTCAAATTAATCTGCGACGTATCCCGAAACAAAAATGCATCTCCTGCGAGACCGCAAATTGCGGTCGGATACATCTCTCGTTAACTCGTGCTTCCCGTAAATCAGCCCCGGAATGCATCCAGGACGCGCCACCGCGTGTCTTGGCTTTTCCCACGGCTTTATCCATGATCCGTCCGAGGAAAATTAAAAACAGGTATTTTAATGCCATCGCGCACTGTAATTACGATGATAGTGTTTTCGGAGCCGGCAATATTGGGAAATTAATCAACGAAATTGCTCCGCGCGGTATTTGCATAATGAAGTTAATAGTTTCTTTCCTCCACGGTGTAAATTTTATTGTCCTTTCCAGAGATAAGTTTTCTCCCCGAGGAAGATTTTGTTATCGCTTCTGCAATTGACTTCCGTTTTGCAATACGACTTCACGCTTCGTGGGATAATTGCATTCCGGAAGAAGGGGTGGAAGAGCAAATCTGCACAGGGAGCGCTTTAACTTTTTAATACTCGAGATACGAAACTGTATAAAAATGCTCGAAGAAAACTATAGAAAATTTTGCGGGAGAAAGAGAGAGAGAGAGAGACGGGGGGGGGAGATGTAATCTAAAAGTTTTCTCATACCGAAATATCATTTCGGTTCTCGCTACATGTATAAATCATCGCTCCAATACCATCGCGTGAAGTATGTTTCGTTCGAAAAAGAGTGGCTTTGGCGAAACGGCGAAATGCCATTTCCGACGACAACGCAATACAGTTGGAGGAAAATAGAATAAAAAAATTCAAGGGTAAAAATGTGACCCAAGAAGTTACTCGAACGGGTTTGCCACAATGAAAGAACAGCCCGGCTGAATGCAGCTTCTATGCGGAGCGAAGAAATACTGCGTCTCTTGCCCCCGGCTCGTGCCGATGGCTCGAGATGAGGAGAAGGGTTTATATCTTACATGAGAAATAAGCATGGCACGCGTACGATTAGCCCGAGGGGACACATTTCGCAGATCAGGATAATCCCGAACATTAACGTCTCCTCGCATATGCATGCAAAATGCGAGAAATGTATATCCGATATACGAGCACTTGATCCCAGATGGCACACATAGTTCTATGAATACTCTTTTGGCGCGCAAATATTCTTAATTTCAAAATATTCCAATCAAATATTCGATAAATATATATATATATATATATATAGATTGTTACAATTAGACATCGTACATTCATAACAAAGAAGAACGTTTTTAGAATGTTCGTCGAGGATGTCTTTGGAATATTCGCTCAGAATAATTGTTTAATATTGATCGAGTTTATGTATATATTACACATTGTTTATTGCGTAATACACTTATCTTATGCAAAAGGCAGTGAAACCTGCGATCGTACCACGTATAATCGACACGCTATATTCGATAGACCATTCTATTTTCATTCGAAAAAGATTTATAGCATTGCCAGTCGAATACTTCACGAACATAAGATAAATATAAAGAATAATCTATGGAATATTCCAAACATTCTTGAAGAATATTCTTAAAACGTTCGTAGAAGTGCCTTGTGCTATCTGGGACAAGACACAAATCTATAAATAATACAATATTTAATTCTCACAAATGTAAGAGGGGCATATTTATTTAATGGAGCCGCTCCTTCTTCTGTAAATTTGCATTAACACGTACGTTGCAATCCAGACATGCTAATTGCGCGCGCGGATTACCGTGCGAAATTAATTCTGGCATGCGCGTCTCCCGCGCGAGGTTTCGCGCGGAGCGCGATTTACGTGCGTTTCTCTGTTCGGACGCGCGCAAATATCGCTGTTACGCAACGTTATCAAAGAGGTGGCCAGCCATCTCGGCTAGGCCCACCTAGACGTCGACACGTGCCAAGCTCGAGAGGCGAGGCGGATACTCGTCCGATTCCCCCGACTCTTTGACCGCCGGAAACTTTCTCGCGTTCGGCGGAGAAGCGTTATATACGGGGGAGAAGCGTTTAAAAATAAATTGATCGACGAGCATTTCGTCGGCCACCCGGCGAGAATAGATCAGCCGGAGCAAATTGGTTTTTGTCTTTAAGTGACGCGCGAATAGCGGCGGCACGGAGTAATTTACAGTTGGGCGTTTGTTTGGACCCCCATGGTGAATCCCGGAGTCGGCGTGATCAGAAAAGACGAGAAACACTCGTGTGTGGTAGGCAATATCTGCGAGATTGATCTTCGCGCTTTCAATGTGCTCCAAATGTCAGGAGATATTTGTGGGACTTTCTCCAGAGTAATCTCCACGCGTGTAGCGATTGCGCGCGTAAGATTGTTATCGGCGAGAAAAATCTTTCGTCTCTCGTCAACAATGTATTATAGTCGTGTAAGACATTATAAAAGTTTTCGTAGAGTAATTTAAAAATTATCAAAAATCTCGTACAATTACGTAGGACAGAGAGAACAATCACATTCAGCGGACAAAGCTGTTTTGTAGCGGTTGTAAAATTCGTGAATCTGATTGGAGTATGCGTTTAAATTCGGGCAAGATTAAGAGCACGCGCCAATCAGATTCCAGATTTTTACAACAGTTGTAAAGCAGTCTTTTCTGCGAGCGCAGCCGTTGTCTTAAATACACTGACAAGAAAAATTTTTTTAACTAAGTAAATAGATTTACGTAAAATTATTTTCTGTTATACTGAAGTAAATATTTATACTATTTAAAGAAAAATTTCAAATTTCAAGTAAATCTGTGTATTATATTAAGTAAATTAATTTAAATCATTACATTTTCTACATTCAACTAAAGATTTCATGAGATAGAGAATACTATTCATTAAATGAGATCATTGTTCTTGTTAAATAAAAAATCCAATTTTCTTCGCGGTGAAAAATACATCTTAGCAAACATTTTATAGAATTAAACTAAAATTTTTTTAATTTAAAATTATCTACGCTCTGATATTTAATAAATATTGTACTTAAATTAAAGAACTGCACGGTTTAATTTGTTTATTATTTTCAAAATTTAATTTAATAACAAATGAGTAAAATTCGTATGGCTCAAATGTTATAAACACAAATTTGAAGGAATAAAGGACTAAGAGCCGTGACAGGGTGTAAGTGCCTAAATATTTTATTCTAAATTTACTGCGACAGAATATCACCTTAGCCAGGGTTTGAACCTGAACCTCCCACTCGCTAGGCGGGCCGTCCCAATCAATTTCGCCTTTCATCTTTTTTGGTTTATTACATTGAATAAAGAATAGATATGCTATTTTTTATGCACTCCTTTAGTCAGTGTATTACAGTTCTGCGCATGTTAGCCCGGGGCGAACGGCAGAAGACATTGTTGAAACGCAGATGATCGGAAAGGCGGAAAATCGTAGCCGCGCGCGATTGGTGGTGCGGAAATCGAGTAGATAGGTACACACCGCAATTGCCGATACGCAGCTGCCGTCACGCACACGCCGCGAGATCGCTTCGTACGAACGTTGTCGATGAGATCAGTCGTGTGCTGACAATACAACCGGTTGTTGCGCACTGGATACCCCTTTATGCCCTTACGCGTACACGCGTACGTATCGCAAACCGCGTAATCGTACCCTTATCGAATCCGTCACGATCGTCGTAAATGAGATTTTTCGCTCGGCGATTTTATCCCCGAGATTATAAAACGTTACGATCTAATCAATGAATGCGGAACACGCAGCTGAAAAGAACCTTTAATTGCATTAACCCACACTATGCGATCGCGTTACGATCGCTCGGCTCGGAAAAAATTAACAGTTTCTATTTACACGGCGATTGTTCGAACGGTCTGTCCGTATAAGCGGCTTTACCTTACTGTTATTCCCAATCCGCCGGATAATTCAGACATTCGTGCGATACGAATATAACATCCGTCTCTCAATGTATCTACACGGAGAGAATTTTGTTTCAATTTACCCTGAAAATTAAGGAATCGTGGGACAATATGGCATCTTCGAGAACTTTCCGAGAGTTTCTTGAAATTTTACCATACTTTTTACTAGTAATTATACTAAAGTGTATACTAAGTATAATTGCTAGTAAAAAGTATGGTAAAATTTCCAGAAACTCTCCTAAAATTCTTCGAAATGCCATATCGTCCCACGATTACGTGATTTTCAGGATGAGAAATTTTTTGAAATTTTACCATACATTTACTAGTAAAATGTATACTAAGTATAATTGCTAGTAAAAAGTGTAGTAAAATTTCCAGAAACATAAAATTCTTCAAAATGCCACATTGTCCCACGATTACATGACTTTCAGGATAAACTTTAAGAGAACATTCTCTCCGTGTACTATAATATAATTACGGAAATTTTCTAAGTATGAGAGTAAGACAGAAAATCATTGCTTTTTGCAGTTACACTTTAATTAACGTGATTTGCTTAGACTGTCCAGTGATGCTTAATACTCACATTTATCTCCTCGTGGGGAAGCAGTTGAAAAGTCTTGAAACGAGATACAAGTAAATCTGTAAATGACTGTAACACGAAAACATAAACGATATAACTTATTGTTAGCTCTTACGTCCTTTTTCTCTTAAATAAATATTCTCATACCGATTTTATGCCTGGTCCAATTAAGCGCGAAACCTGGGAGAGCCCCCGAGACCGATTACAAGAATAGAGTCCAATCGGTGAATCCAATCGCTATTGTTCTCGCCAATATCCCGCCGTGTAAAATGTACGTTTCCTCGGCTTTAAATTGACGAACTTACTCGCTCGAGATTTCCAATACACACTGAAACGCGAGGAAGCTTTAACGATATTCTCTGTGTCGACTTCCTATAACATGCGCTATCCGCATACACAGCTAGACACGACCGTGCCTGTTTGCAAACAAGTCCGGTATTCGCGAAAGCTCGGGTGTAAACGGTGCGGCGAACGATTAATAATCATGTAACTACGCGGTGTGCCAACTGTTAGACTCGGCGAGCTGGTAACAATGATAAATTCACGCCTGTCGAAATGGAACTTGAAAATCGTAACATAGAAATCTCTTTAAGTTGCCAGTAATAAATAACAATAGTCTAGCTTGTTAGCCGACATTAACCGGCCAATGTTTTAATACAGAAAATTTATTGCGAGAAACGTTACCTCGGCCAGGGTTTGAACCTGGACTTCCCTACTCTCTAGACGGGCCGTCTCCCAATTCGACCACCGAGGCATTTTACATATCGAGGAATTCTTTATTATCTCCTCTCACTCGAGTGTTCTTCCTCAACGTAACAATTTTTAACGCAGAAAATTTATTGCAAGCAATGTTATCTCTAGCCTGGGTTTGAACACGGACTTCCCTACTCTCTAGGCGGGCGTCTCCCAATTCGACCACTGAGGCATGACACGCCCGCCTAGAGAGTGGGGAAGTCCAGGTTCAATCCCTGGCTGAGGTAATATTTTTCGCAATAAACTTTCTGTATTAAAAAGTTGTGACGTTACGCAGTAAAAAAAATGTTTATGTTAACATTTTTCACATGCCCCCAAAAAGTCCACCACTCTAAATTTTAAGTTAAACTAACATTCATCGCGTGTGTTACTTTTTGCCAAATAATAAATGTTAATCAATTAACAATATACTCCATATTTATGTTTATGTTCTTTTAACCATAAGTGTGATGTAATAAAACCAGACAGGATAAGTAAACTGTACGAATAGTTGCAAATTAAAATAGTTGAAATAATTTTTAAGAAATGTCGACATTACATGTTTCGATTGATTTTGTGAAATAGTCGTGTTAAACGAACTCAAAATAATATTCACTTTCTAAATGGCGTACATAAAGTGTCAAGTTATTATGTTAACATAAATGTAACACATAAAGATGTTGCAAAAATAATAACATATCTGTCTTATGTTGATTTTACATTAAAGTAATAATCAAGTCTTGGTAAACACAAGAAAATTTTAACATTTCAACACACGATTTTTTACTGTGCAAGGAAGAACACTCGAGAGATAGGAGATAATAAAGAATTCCTCGATATGTAAAATAAATTAATATTGAAAATCTATCGATTTCACGGTTGCTCACATCGCTGCAATCCTTGTTCATAATTCCACGATAATGGGGTATATACAGTATCGGCCAAAGTTGCATCACCTTTCGATTCTTTCAGCACAACTAGTTTTAAAGTGCACGAGTGAAAAATTCGAAAATCACGATGTATTTTGTCAAATTTCATTACCCTTCAACGTACAAGACCTGTTATCAGGTGTTTACTGTAAAATGTTAAGCACACTCGATGCACTTTGACGAAAGTGCTCCGAAAACCCGAAGGTGATACAATTTCGGCCGGTACTGTATATTTTCTCGTTATTCCAGCGGCGGTCTAAACAATATCTGCCCCTTTTTTAATTCGCAAAAATGCCCGCGTAGAGATAAAGTTAAACTGCTTTTAAAAAAATGTAACTATATTTTTTCCTTTTAGTTCGCAGACTACCGGCGTTCAAGTGATTGCGACGGAGGACTCGAGTGGCAAAGCGGCTCGCGGTTCGTCGTAAAACAGCGATACACCGTAAGAGCATCTACGCGGAACTCTACTGAGACGACAAAGCCGATCCGATTCTTTTCACGAAACACGATAGAGGAAAATGTACAGAGCGAGATAAATCGGGCGGAGGATCGACGTTATGGTACCTGGGCTCACTTCGAGATCTTCCGAAAGGCAACGCGAGCTCGAGTGTGCAAGTCGACATTTGCTAACAAAGGTGAAAGGTATAAGTTATTTCTTCTTTTTTCTTCGCGATAAAATATTTTACGGCCCTTCGCGGAGAAAACGATTTTAAGCTTTTAGACGCGAATCGCTCGACTAAAATGCGAACGGACTTTTTTTTTCCAACAAAATTAAATCAATCGGAACGAACGTTAACGGATGCACGTAAGTGGCAAAGCCGTATATACGGAAACAGAAATAAATCTTGCAAGTCAAGTAAATCTACGTAAGACGAATGATGTACGTGAGCGTAAAATCGTATCCATGTTCTTTTAACATAAAAAAAAACTTATGTTAAAAGTCCGGAACATGTATTTGCTTTTAACTTTTTAAATCGTAAATAATTTTTAATTTACCAGGCTCGTTGATACAAATTTTTAATAATCGCACTACGATCATCTACCTTTATTTATTATTATCTATCAATTAATAGTAGTAAAAATGATGAAAATGATATTTAAGGGATAACCCGCGACGAAATGCCAACGAGAAAACTAATTAAGTAATGAAAAATTACGTGATTCGCAGTTGAACTCGAGGAGTGCGAGGATTCGGCCAAGATTGAAGGCAAAAGCGAAAGAAAAGGGTAGACGGAAAGAACAAGGAGTTCGCGTGAAGATGGTAACGTAAAGAGACGGGATCAAAAGGCAATACAAAATCGGGAAGTGACAGAAAATTGTTGAACGATGGAAATAAGCTCGATGACGACGACGGAAACGGTCGCTTTTGGTTATCACGATGTTGATAGGTTCATGCAGCAAAACTTCAGCAACACCAGCACCAGCGGCTACGACGACCCGTACGAATGTAGGCAGCAGGTCAATACCAACGGCCTGGCGGACTTCGTTATTTATGGCATATTCGTCAATCTGATCGGTCTCTTTGGGATCTTCGGCAACGCGATCTCGATGATCATTCTGTCGCGGCCGCAGATGAAGTCATCCATCAATTATCTACTAATTGGACTTGCCAGATGTGACACAGTACTGATCATCATTGCGGTAAGTGCGCCCCTCCTGTAATTAGTATTTACGTCTTGCGCAGTTTTTACGATAGAGAAATAAATATAGCGGAATTTTAGAAAAAGATACAGGACAAAAATTATGCAAGGGCATAAAAAGCGCACTTTGAAAAGCCGGGAAATATAATCTCTAAAGAACTAGAATGATTAATGAACGCAAAAACTTGTGGTTTGCTTGTGCGACGCTTTATTTCCTGGCACTTTGAAGAAATTGGAAATTACGTGGAGGGAAACGTGCTGATGTCTCGTTTAACTTGATGAACATTTTTGTAAATTCGCATTAATGCGAAGTTAAATTTTATTTCACACGGTAGAATACAGGACCGTAAAATGCTGCGGAATATTGCGCGTTTAATGTAAAAGAAACGGTCAAAGTTAACAGCCACTTGAGTGAGCTGGTCGAGCTACTTTTCGCCCTTATTACGAAGAAATAATATGAAAGAGTTTTTATTAGACCAAAATATTAACGTTTACTTTAAAAGCCTCTCAAGGACATTTATTATTAAACAGACTAGGATTTTACATTAAATTAATCTATATCATTTACTTTGCATATTAATATCCGATATAAATAATGCATCGAAACATCTTTCAATATTTACCTAGAAAGCGCCGCTTGAATGTTTTAAAGAGATAACAGGTCGAATATTTAAATATTTTTCATTCGTCATGTAATATCAGAAAAACAAGGTTATTTGTATTACAGTCAATAATGCGATGAATATTTCATGTGTGCCCGCGCGCGATTTATTTATGAAATTCAATTAAGCGTAATATATATGCAAAAATATTTCCACCCATTGTATATTTTATATAAGATTGATTTGCGGAACTTAAAGACGTCGCCTGAAACGCAACTTTACTCTCCGCGCGATTCCAAGTGCGACGTGTAACAAATCGCGAACGGAAAATCAATGTTTAATTGGCACACACATGACTAGAAACGATTTTCAATAGGATCGTGGGACGCCTCGTAATTGCCGTCGGATGACCCAGCGTTTACCGTCGTCGCGTCTAGCCGCTGCCAATCAATCATGCGCACCAGATAAAATTTAAAAAAAAAACATCCAACGTCCACATCGTTCCCGAACCCATAGAGTTGCATTTCGAAGGGCTTATCGCGACACCTTGTTACCGTTATCTTTTATTAACAATAGCTCTCGCGAAACGACCGAGCTCGCTCATGTCGAAAGTGATACGAGTTAACGTTACAGGCACAACATGTTTAATCCTCTTTGTCGAATATAGGGGATATTTCAGAGAACCATCCCGCAAACGTGCGATGACAAAATGTAAAAAAAAAGCGCCGTTTATTAAATCTATTTCAGTGTTAAGCATCGGTAGTTTTGAAATTATAAATGAAAGAGCGTCCCATGAATTACATTACGGATATGTATATTGCAGAACTCTGCTTTTCATGTAGATTTAGGCAGATCTTATTTTAATGGAAATTTAATTCACACGAGCATTACTTTTTATATTTGATATTAAAAATTTGAATCTTGTCCTGAAGTAGTAGTATAAAGTCCTCTAAACTTAAAAGAGATAAAATACTAGGCCTGAAAGTATAATAAGAACTTCAAACGTAAATTAATATAATAAATACAATTAAGTTGTTCGGATTCACATTGAGATTTTTATTATTAAAGCTCATTGTTAAGAAATTTAATCTCGTAAATTCCATTAATATTTTGCGTGCGACTAGAGTACGTTTCTATTATCCTAAATAGTTTTGAAACATTCTTTGTATCAGATTCTCTCATTAACGAGTTAAAAATGCGAGTTAAAAAATCTCGCGCATTTGCCTACGTTTTACGAATCGGATAATTAATCCTCGCCGTACTAAACGAAGTAGTTAAGGATCTGGAAAGATTAATGACGTTTGATAACGAGTGCTAAATATCGAAATTCAATTTTCGTAAAACGTACCCACCACAGGTCATAATACCTTGTCGTAGAAATCAGCTGCAGACCTCTCGTTTTAATTTTACCTTTAATCCCGTGTTTCATGCAGTCGTAAATTTCCGACATAGCCGAGCTTTTCATTAAAATAAATTCTCTTTAGTACAGTCCAGTAGCACGTTCCGGTTTATCTCATGTAATTTCACCTATTTCTCTAAACACGTAATTTATCTTTATCTCTACTCCCGCATTTTTACCTCGGATGTACGTACGTTTATATGATTTTATACAGATTTTATATTAATCTGAAACGTGTGCAAAGAAGCTTGTTATGAAGAGCGTTGAAGAAATAACCGTAGTAATATTATAATTTACATTACTAAATTAAAAAGTTTCTCTCCCTGTTACAAGTTTCCATTTTCATTCCTTTCTAAACAAAAATTCTATGTTCTGTCTCCAGCTAGTAAAACTTAACTGAAGAAATTATTATTTAATTATGATTAAATACATATTTGTGTTTAGGACAGTTAGATAAAATCTGCATCGAATTAAAAGCAAATGTAGAAAAAATAAACCAAATTTGTGGAAAGGGCCCATTTTTAAATTACTTTACGTTAGCATTCGAAATAATTTCTACTGAAACTTCTCGTTTCTTGCAGTAAGAAATAGAAATGTAACAAGGAAGAGATATCGTGGAACAAGTATTATCTCTTTTATGTAGTAATTTTACATCATCCGCGTGGCAATCCTTGTCAATATACATTCGCGGCGCGGAGAAGGAGAATTACTGTCGCCGAAAATGCATGACCTGCCAGGATGTCGTAGAATAATAATGGATCACATGTCAAGCTCATGTAAATAAGTCACCGTGTGTTACGCGGTTTCGCATTTTCGCGGATAAAGTCAAGATACAGTCACGGTAAACAGGATCTTCCGGTTTAAAAGAGATGGGCCACAGGAGCGGAACGTTCGTACGCAAGATCCCATCAACCCTCTCTCGGGACCACATTACACAAACCAACCTGGTTATTAATTAATTATTCGAAGCAAACTCCCTCGACTTTGCGCTCGCCCTCACTAACGAACTATTTATGTATTCATCCATCAAACGTCGCAAGCATAAAACCGCTTTGCGTTTATATATAATCGCACTTTACAATTAATAATAATCGGAAAAATTGAGAATTTTTACGGGGTGTTCTAAAATATTTGCAAGAATAATTAAAATATTCAAATATTCTTTAACAAAATGTTGCGTTAGGAGCATTTGTGAAACCGTAGAGATACTTCTAATATCTTCAAATTAAGACACAAGTAAATAACGAGAAAGTTTAGCTAAATTTATTTAATGTAGAAATCAATTTTGTGTAAAGTGTACTTATGAGAACAAATCAATGTTATTAATTTATATTTCAACTATTGCTTATTAAAAAATTGCCGAATCCAAACAAGTATTGGTGATAAAATATGGAAATGCAGTATATTATACATGAAGCGCTTATTTTTATTACATCTATAAATTATGTATTTATATCTATAAATTATGTATTTATAGGTATTAATCTACGGATTACCGGCAATCTATACGTATACGGGCGCGTTATTCGACTATAAGTTCATCGTTTATCCGAAGACCATCAGATACCTATATCCGCTGGCTTGCATAGCACAATTTGTGACGGTGTATCTGACGTTAACGGTTACTTTGGAGAGATACATCGCGGTTTGCCATCCACTGAAGGCCAGATCCTTCTGCACTTACGGACGAGCCCAAGTAGCAGTGCTGGTCATAGTGATCGTTGCCTTTATTTATAATCTACCTAAGTAAGTAATCGATCGGATATCGTTCGTGCTTTCTCTCAATCTGTAGTTGTTAGAGAAAAAATATAAGATCAGCATACAGCGGAAGAAATGCTGTAATTATAATAATTGTGGTAAAAACAAATCTTCGATCTGTTCATGTTGTTTGAAATAATATAATATCGAATATGAAGTGAGGAAAAAGATGAAAAGAGTGCTTGGAAAACTTGTCGCGCTCGTTGCGTTGCGACAAGTCTTGGAATTATTGTCAACTAATGGAGAAATTAATTTTTGAATTCATTCAGATTTTGGGAAATCGAAGTGTTCCACGAGAGGCACTGGAAGTATAATATCACGGTGTACTGCGTTTCCCCAACCGAGTTGAGGAGCAACGACTACTATGTTACCCTGTACATCCATTGGATGTATTTCTTCGTGTACTACATGTTCCCGTTCATCGCATTGCTGATTTTTAACACGGCCATTTATCGACGGGTGAGTAACGTGAGTAAAGTCCAACATCGTCATAAATCCGGATTATTTCGCTGAAACAATATTGCACGGCGATGGAGTTTTATGGAAAAGGAATGTATCTCGCGGAAAAAAATTTTGTTCGCGCATTTATACAAACTTTAATTTACTCCGGATAAATTACAATTAGAGAGAGAGAGAGAGAGAGAGAGAGAGAGAGAGAGAGAGAGAGAGTCGACAAACAATTGCAAAATTGTAATAATAAACAGGTAAAAAAATTAAGGTGGCTTCTGCATAAACCGACCAAAAATTAGAAAAACTTGAAATTTAAGTATGTGTAGTTGTAAATTTGATCTATCGGTACGCGAAATTTTAGACCCGGTCGCTGATAAAATAAAAATAAAAATGTTAAAGTAGTATTTTTCAACATTCCAGTAAACATCAAATAACAGTTGGATAACATCAATATTGTTATAATTTCCAACTCAACAAGATAAATGTAATATTACTATAGTAATAATAAATAATAAAATAATAACACCCATGTTATATTACATTTACATTGTTAAGTAGGAAATTATAATATTGATATTACGTAATTATTACTTGGCGTTCACTGGGATTGAAGTTATTGGCCGATCGCTCGTAGAAGCACTTTGAGGGTTAATATTATTTTATAGAAAAAGTAGATCTTAACAAAAAAAAACGAGATGAACATAATAAATGTCACAAGGATTCGAGTGTGCTGTTAAGTATATGAGGTCACCGACCTCTGCAAGCAAATACTTATTAGTGAAGTCGAAAAATACAATGTTTTGAGAAAATTTGGCAGCTCTTTGGGACTTGACAATATCACATATTTTTAAATATGTTTTTAAATGTGCATATATAATATAACCTAGCATATCAATGCATTTGATCAAAAATGCATTAAGTGATATTTTTTATGAAAAAAAAGTCATACGAATTTATAAAAATCAAAGGAGCCCCAGCAAACCACCCATACTAACTGTTCCTTCGTGCAGGAGCCACCTTAAAGAAACATTCTATGTTAAAAAAACATCATCTACTATTTTATTGTGCATCTGTGACTTAAAATGTCGTCTGCGATCATCAAATTTCGAATTGGAAACGCGGCAAAGGACATTGACAACCGAAAATGAAACACGAGCCGGATTAAACGCGAGGTATCGAACAGCTTGTCAGCTGAACTAGAACTAACATTTCCCAGAGCCACCGCTCCGTTTTATTAAAACTTCTTTTTAGAATTCGCAATAAGTCATGACAAAGGAGCAGAAAGAAGAGAGGGTGGCCGGGCCGATACCGCAATAAGTTCGCGCAACGGGCCGGCTATATGACACAAAAGTACGAATAATAAGCCGTGGCGACGAAACCAATAAAGTTACTCAGAGTGTATAAGTCTCTTTGATATACGTGCACATGCTTAGAATTCGCGAGCTCGTATAAAGGCAGTGAAATTCACAGACGGCTGCCCTCACACGTGCCACTTGTGCGGACCGCACGACTGCAGCTGCAGACACAAGCAATATCATCCTCCTCCTCTTCCTTCTTGTCTTTCGAAATACGTGAAACACTTGCAGCTCGGAGCTAACATGCGTTAAATATTGCGAAACAATTTCCGCACTCTAATTTTATAGACAATAATACAACGCAGTGGATTACGGGGCCAGTAGGTAAAAAATAATAGTTTCCATATCAAAATTAGAATAACAATTTCAGACCTCATACATTTTACTTTTCCTCTAATTAGTCTAATTGATTGGATAAAAAATTATAAAAAATTACTGCAGAAAAATAGAAGTTAATATAAGCAATTTTTTAAATGTATAAATCAATAAAGATCGCGCTTTTGCAGCTTTGAAAATTTCTGAAAGATAAACGCAAGTTTTCTTCTTGTAAGAAATACCTTTCTCCTCTGTACGATTTAATTATCAAGAACAATGGAAAGAATAGAAATTGATAAGAGAACTAAAACTTGAACTATAGAATAATATAAGGTTTATCTTTGTAATCTTAAATAATTTTAATAAGATAAGAATCACTATATATATATATATATATATATATATTGCGACGACGTTTTCCTTTCTCTTAATTTTCTCCGCCCTCCCGTTGTGTGTGGACGGACGGGTGTTGCCGTCCCGCTCTCGCTGTCGCGCGCGGATCGTAAGGCGAAGGCGCGCCGGCGACGGGGAGCGCGGTCGCCGGGCGCGAGAAGCGCGGGATACGGACGGATCGGGTCGTCGTCAAAAACTCAAAAGGGGGGGGTGATAACGCGCCGGAAAGGAGCAGGATCTCGAGAGCTCCGCGCGTACCGTGCCGCGGGCCGAAA